TGGCCTTTTTCTCCCAGAAAAAAGAGCAAAAGCATTAGGCTAGGGCCGTCCAATTGAAGTATTCGTCTTCAACTTCAAGGTGTTTAATAGCGTATCTTTTCGGTGGCGATTGCGAAAGCTTTAACCACTTGCTATCTGGAATAATGTTTTTTAAATGAACCAAACGTTTCTTCTCATGCAGACTGCAAAGCGTAATGCTTGGTACTACAAGATCCGAATAGGAGCCAATATAAATTGTCGTTTAGCAGGCTTCAGGCGTAGGTCCTCATTTATATAAGCGACGGCATTAAGGATGTTTGCAGTGATCCCATTATGTTTTCAGGTGATATTAAAATTAAAAAACATCAGCTCATCTGACGGCGCACAGAATTCAAAATAAAATGTTAATAAACTGGCCGTATAGTCCAGCAGGTGGTTTTCGGCATCAACCCATATGTATTAGCTAACGCTTGAAATTTGGTCAAGAATTCCCCCCAAAATACTCCAAGAGCGGTGTGCCACTAAGAAAAGGGGACAACCAATATCATGAACTGACAACAAACAGAAGATGATGGTAAAAAATTGATCAAGATGAACAAGAAAGTACGCAGAACGAAAAGCAATTGCATAAATTTTCACAAACTAAAAAATTACTTAAGTAAAATTTGACATTCGAACGATAATTTCATCTTCGTGGGGGCCGACTAAAAAAGGAATCGTTAACTATAGCCGTGTTTTACATACAATTCGATTTTACTATATGATGTGTTTTAGTATTGAGTTAAAGCTTGTTAATTAGGTTTGCTGGTTACGCGTACGAAGGATTGGTGCCAAGTGTTGAGTGCGTACGTTGCGGATAGTCAATCAGATAATTGACAGCAGACCACAAAGGATGCTTGGTTATCATTTTTTTCGTACGCTACTAGTTAGCTTTGGCATTTTGCTCTATTTCGGCCTTTTTTGTGAGGGCGATTCTATGAGCAAAGACGAAATAATTGAACTGAAGTAAGCACCTTATTATATTATGTTATTTCTAGGAATAAGACAAAGGAAATGTTTTTTCACGCCTACAGAAGTTACATGGTATGTTGACGCTCATTTAGAATATTTTTTGTAGAAAAATGCTTTTCCGGCAGACGAATTGATGCCCCTTAGTTGCAAGGGTCGCTATCGTAACTCTGAACCGAGTCGGGGTGACATTGACGATGCGCTCGGTAACTTTTCGCTCACACTAATCGATAGCCTTGACACCTTGTTTGTAAGCCAATTTTAATCTAAATCCTTTCAAGATTTTAAATGAGTTTGACGAAT